GTGCTCAACCACTGAGTCCCAGACCTTAATAATTAGTTTTAAAATATACTAAGCACATAGTTTCTACCAGGAAATTAAACATGTATAAAAACAAACATATATTTTTTGGTACTGGGGATCTAATCCAGAGGTGCTTTATGGTAAACTGCAGAGCTAAACCACAGAACCATATCCCTTGCCCTTGTTGGTTTTTTTTTTTTTTTTTTGGTATTAGGGATACCAATCAGGGGTGCTTAACCACTAAGCTACATCCCCAGTCTTTTTATTTTTCATTTTGAGACAGAGTCTTGCTAAATTACTTAGGGCCTCACTAAATTACTGATAAGGCCTCAAATCTGCAATKTCTTCTTAGCCTCCTAAATCACTGGTATTAAAGGGTGTGTCACCTTTGCCATTGTAACCTTTTTTGTTTTTGTTTTGTTTTGTGGTGCTGGGGATTGAACTAAGGGTCTTGCACATGCTAGGCAACTGCTCTACCACTGAGTTGTTTCCAGCCCATGCTTTAATCATTTTTTTTTCCTCCTTTTTGGTGCTTGGACCGACAGGTACTGTACCAGTGAGCTATAGACTCAACCCTTTTTATTTTTAGACAGGCTCTCACTAAATTGCTGCTTCAAACTTGTGATCATCTTGCCTCAGTCTCCAATGGGATTACAGGTTTGTGCCACACCATTTTTAAGTATACAGTTTAGTAGCATTTAGTACATTCATGTATTGTGCAAACATCACCTCTATCCATTTTCAAAACTTTTTCATTCTATTAAACAAAACTCCCATGCTTAGTAAGTAAAAACTTCCCCTTTTCCTCCCATCCCCTGTAACCTCTATTCTACTACTTGTCCCTATGAATTTGCCTATTCTAGGTCCTTCATATAAGTGGAATCATTTAGTATTTATTCTTTTGTATCTGAGCTATTGAACAGCATATTTTTTTTCAAGGTTTGTCAGTGTTGCATCAGAATTTCATTCCCTTATAAAGTCAGAATAATGTATCATTTTATGTATAATCACATTTTGTTTATTTGATATTTATCTGTTGATGGGCATCAGGGTTGTTTCCACCTTTTGGCTATTGTGAATAGGGCTACTATAAACATATATGTACAGATATCTCTGACTCCCCACTTTCAAGTCTTTGGCAGTATATACCAAGAAGTTGAATTACTAGATAACATGGTGTTAGCTTCGTCTGTTTTATGTTGCTATAACAAAATATTGGAGGCTAGATAACTTACCAAAAAAAAAAAAAAAAAAGGAAGCTTATTTGAGAGGCTGGGATTGTGGCTTAGTGGTAGAGTATTTGCCTAGCATGCATGAGGCACTGTGGTCGATCATCAGCACCACATAAATGTAAAATAAAGGTATTGTGTCCACCTAAAACTAAAAAATAAATATTAAAAAAGCTTATTTGCTTCATAATTCTGGTGGTTGGTTGGCTCAAACAGCATGATGTCAGTATAGCTAGCAGGGGCCCCTGGCTGTATTATGACAGAGATGTCAAAAGCAAACTGGTCTTCATGCAGAGAAGGCCAAGGTTTAGGTGGTGTCATTTTAAAACAACCCACTCTCACAAGAACTAGTCCAGTAATGAGATTTGTCCCACTTTCATGATAGCATTCATTCATTTGTGAGAGTGGCAACCCTATGACCTGATTATATTCCTCTAGGCCCTACCTCCTGAAGGTTCTTCCATCTTAATACTCTTATGTTAAGGACCAAGCTTTCAGCTCATGAACTCTGGGGAATGGACTACAAACCATATCTAACCACAGAACATGGCAATTCTATTTGTAACAGCTGGAAAGTACACAGCATTTAAGCCTTAGACTAAAGGCTTGTTTGAGTGCCACCAACTGGTTTCCCCACACCTGCACCATTTTACATTCCCACCAGTGATGCACAAGAGCTCCAGTCGCCACATGGTTTTTAACACTTGCTTTGTACTTTTTGATAATTGCCATCCTAGTGGGTACTAAGTGGTTATTGATTCTATGAACGTTTAAGGTGGCAAATAAGTGACAAGTCAATCAACAGGAAGTGACTGGGTGTATTCCCAGTACATATTATCACAGAAATACCATGTAGCAATTGCTTCTTTTTCTATATGACCATCACAAATGCTCCTTTATGCTGGTCGAGCATCTAAAGGTAGCCTTCCTAATTTAGTTTTAAKTATTTCCTAGTTCTTCTGATGCTAATGCTGCACAAGAATATGCAATGAATACTTATTATGAAAGRATGTTCAAGTAAAGCAATGTAAGGAATGGAAGAAAACAGAGACTAGTTTATTCATGTTGATATACATGTGTTGTTTGGGCATATTATTTCAGAACTCAACCCTTACCATTTTCAATCTTATCTCAAGACAAACCTTCAAAGATGTTAAAACCAGTGAAGCACTGTAGTAATATTATCACTTTATTATATTCAATTTAAAAGAAATTAATATATCTGTAATCAGTCTAAGGCTTAAATGCTGTGCACTTTCATTTTTATCACTCTTCAAAAAAGACCATTTACAGTTTTCTGGCAAGCTATCATGAAAAGGGATCAAGTAAACAAAAATCCTCACAAAAATATTGACTTACAAGCTTCCTTTTCAGCACCACTTTTCCCCAAGGAAATAAACGTGGGTGGGGACTGACTGTATCTGGTAGAAYGAAAACCAAAATTATGTGGCAGGTCAAAATTGAGGGTGAAATCCAAGAATTAACATTTTACTCATTGGTTTACCCAAACAAAACAAAATAAATTGAGTGACATGGTATCTTAAAAATTTTAAAATGCTTTTAAAAAATATTTTTAAATTGTAGTTGGACACAAAACCTTTATTTTATTTATTTTTATGTGGTGCTGAGGATCGAACCCAGGTCCTCTCACGTGCAAGGTGAGAGCTCTACTGCTGAGCCACAACCCCAGCCCCCCAAATTTTAAAATTTWAAAAATGTCTTAATTTCTAATGCTAATGTTGGTAATGTGGGGGTATTAAAATTTTTGATGTTTCAGTAAAAACTAATTCCAATTCAGAATATAAACTGAATGGTAGGCTACTTAAATGTATGTGACCTAACCTGTTCCAGAAGTAAAGACAAWGTACAGATTAATGTGACTTGAGTAAATTTAAATAATTGCGTTTGTTGTCACTACAATATTAAAAAGTTATCTCATATTTGAACACATTAGCATTGAACTGAGAATAAAATCCATTATATAGTCATCCCTCCTTATCTGTTTCACTTTCTGCAGTTCGTTACCCATGCTCAACCACTATTCAAAATATCAAATGAAAAATTCCAGAATTCAGAAGCTGTAGATTGAGCACTGTTCTCAATAGCATGATATCTCATGTCTTCTCATTCCATTTGTCCACAGATGTAAATCGTGTACCCATGCGGTATATACTATCCACCTATTAGTCACTTAGTAGCATCTTCAGTTACCAGAATAACTGTTGTGGTATCCCAATGCTTGTGTTTAAGTAAACCTTATTTTACTTAATAATGTAAGAGTAGTGATGATGGGAATCTGGGTATACCAAAGCAAAGCTGTGTTTTACCCTTAATCAAAAAGGTGAAAGTTCTCAATAGTAGGAAAAAAAAAATCATACACTGAGGTTGCTATGCTCTACAGTAGATCATTGTTAATCTCTTATGGCACTTAAATTTAAAAATTAAACTTTTATGTTAGCTATGTATAGGAAAATCCTAACATGTATAGACGTTAAGCATCATTAAAACTGGGGGTTTTAGAATGTATCCCCCAGAAATAAGGGAGAATTTTATCATATGTACTTCATGTACAGCTTCTTCACCCTTCCATTTTTTTTTTTTTTTTTTGTACCAAGAATTGAACCAGAGACACTTAACCACTGAGCAACATCCCCAGTCCTTTTTGATGTTTTAATTTTGAGACAGGGTCTTACTAAATTGCTTAGGGCCTAAATTGCTGAGCCTGGCCTCAAAATTGTGATCC